ATATACGAATTATAAGAATGTTAATTCATAGGAACAGAAGATATGAATTATAAGAATGTTAATTCATAGGAACAGAAGATATCAATTATAAGAATGTTAATTCATAGGAAAAGCGATTTGTTTATGGAGCTACTTTTCTTGGTGGTGAAGTGAATCAGACAACTTAAGTGCTTCAGACAGCTAATTGCCTAGAATAATGGTGAAATGTTTGATGCTGAATTTGAATGACTCAGCACGTGATTGAGTATTTGGATGAGAAGCAGCTAAGTGATTAGGATATAGCTGTAGCTGAGTTAAAATTGTTTTTCAACCTAGTAGAAAACTGCCCTGTCTGTTAGTTTGTGTTTATACTCAAAAGAGAAAAGTCTATGATAACTTTATATTTTTTTGTGGGTTACCCGCGTTAACTACATGTACAGGAAGATTCCATTTTATTAGCTGCTAGCTGCACATTGCTAGAATATTCTTGTACATAAGTTCACAAAGGGTCTCCCTAGTTAAACGAAGTGGTGCCGTATGAGTGCTAGAGAGTGCCACAGCCAGAAAAGATTTTAGGGGTTGATTGGTATCTTTATAATCTGACAAACAAATTGAAAGAAAGATAATAAAGCTAAGAAAAATTATCTTCTCTAAAATTTCAGTAATACCCCTGGAAATATCTGTATTAATAGGAATATTTTTATCCTAACATAAGCCGTTTCTTTGTAAATTAAGTTTAAAATAGTCTTTTTGAGTTAGTTGCAGGATAGAAAGATGCTAACAGTGGTAGTTCCAACCTCAACAAGAATTATCTCTATAGATATCTGCATATCAGAAAGTCTGAGGTCAACCCAAGGTTACAAGTATGTCATACGACAACGTTTCTCAAACTGGGTCCCGCAGCACTCTAAGGGTCATGTTCGAAATTTCATAAAAGTATTGAAAACGAAATATAATTTATAAAATGAAAAATTGTTTCGTGATATTAAATTTACACGAATTAAAACATTTCATTTACAAAGAATATTTTTTCAAAACAAAAAGCGTCGATATGTTTGAAGGTCCACGAAAAAATGTCAAATTATTATTATGTCTCCTCGGGTTACTAAAGTTTATGAACTGCTATCAGTGAATGGTCAGAGCTAACTACGGCTCCATGGTAATTATGCCATGGTAACAGTTGTTCTCTCTAAATCCTCCCCAAATGGCACATTAGGTAGAGGGAATGGAGTGTATGCTTCAGTTTGGACATTTAATGAGAAATTTGTTGACCTGTTAGATGTAAGTGGAGAAATGTCACTGAAATTGTTCTGGTTTTTGCCACTCACAAAATGAAGGTAGTTGTCTCTAATCATAGGTTACAGAACGGTATATTAATGGTGCACATAATGAAGAGCTTGCCAGATAATTTTGTTTGTGTAACAGGAGAAATGCAGTGTTGTGATTAAAAAAAACATCCAGAATAAACAGGATTGAAACCAAGAACAATGATTATTTGTTTGTTTGTT